TCTTCCACTCCCCCTGCTTGTGTTCCCTCTCTCGCTGTGACTCTCTTTGTCAAATAAATAAATAAAATCTTTAAAAAAAAAATTTTTACAAGTATTATTTTATGAATGTGTGGAAAGAAATGATTTGAAAGATGTTCAATTCAGATTTTTTTTCTAACCAGTAAGGAATGAGCAAACACATTTCAGCTGTTTTTTTTCCTCCTGAAACTTTATGTCCCATGTTCTTACAGTCCTTAATGAAAATACTGTATAAAAGCAAAACAATTTCATGGTTGTCCTGTCTCAAGGCTATTTGAAAAATGTTACTTGAGACATGGAGTGGTAGTTTCTGAGAGCATGGGAGTCTATGTTCTTTCCCTGCTCTGAGCTCAGAGCAGGCTCTCAGTAAACCACTTTTGAGTTACAGAAGCCAACAAGGTGATCTGGATATTTAAGCACCTAATTGCTTTAAATGGAGGGTAATGATGGTAAGTTTTCCCTTGAAGAATCCAAATCACTGTTTTGATTTTTCACTTTAGTATATAACCCTGAGCTAAATGTGGCCATTAAATTCTGCCCCCCCCCCCTTTTTTAAGAATTGACTTCTAGAGGAATAATACTGGGAAAAATCAAATTAAATAGAATACTTTGCTGCAGAACTTCCCCAGAGCCATTAATGCTAATGTGCATAGGGAATCCCCAGTAAGCATTTCTCAAACTTATTTGACCCTACAATGCCCTTTTCACAGAGCTTTTGTGTTCTGTGGATTTTGGGAAAAGCTGTTCTATGTTGTGTTTCACTCTCTCCATCTCCCAAGGAAGGCCCACAATGATTGCTTTGAGAGTTTGCTTATTTGTGAAACATAATCAAAATGAATACTTGAAAATCACTACATAAATTATTTTAAAGTATCAGTGGTAAGTAACATGTGGAGATGTTCAGATGAAGAAAACTCTGGTGATTGGGAGTAAATATTGCTCTCCCTTCTGAAACTTCACTTTTCAGGATATTACAGCATTATGTCTTCACTCTAGATCAGTGGTTAGAGTTCTTGAGATGTGCAGTTAGCCTCAGTTTTGAAGGGCAGCATCCATTATACCACATTGAGCCATATTAGGAACTGTGAGGTGGTTGCCTTCCATAGTCCTCCTTAAATATAGAAGTTTATAGTAATTCATCTTAGTTTTAGAGATTTGAAAAAAAAGAAAAAGATGAAATTTCTTCTCGCTGAGTTCCTCAAACTGAGGTAGTAGAGTAGCTGTGACCATGGCAGTCATTTTATTTACCTTTATATTTCATACTTGGATTTCTTCACGTCTTTCTCTGCCTCAGCATTTTGAGTATCTTCTTGGGCACAGTCAATATACCATCTGATATATCTATGTATTTTGTATCTGTTCTCTTCTCTAGGTCTTAATGATACTCTCCTATCTCCTTTTCTCTATGCTCAAGATTTCAGGTCTGAGTTCTGTGGTCTTTAAACGTGACTTCTTGAAGTACGGAAACATAAATAAGGACAGGAAAAAATAGATCATTATTAAAGTGACTTCCACAACACCCCCCCACCCTTTCTTTTTTTTAGTATTTTGGGATACCTGTGGCTAAAAGGAAAAAAAGCTTGTGAGGAAAAAGAAAAGTTGGCTAATTTAAGGAAATTAGTAAAAGTTAAAAATAATAGTTTTAAAATGTGTTTCACTATTTGGTGAAATTTTAACTCAGACGCATATAGGTCAAGATAATTTTTTTGTTACAAAACTTTCTATCTTAACCCTGTTCTGATCTTTCTTTAGCAGTATGTAATTTTTTAAAGTGTGGTAAAAAGCTCCTTCTAACCCAGTTAGAAGCTGGCGATTGTGGTCATTGCTAACTAAAGCCTCAGGATTTGACTGAGGGGAAAGCTGAGGGTACACTCTACCCCTCCGCCCCTGCCTATGTGATTGAGACCTGAAATTCTAAGTGTATCAAAAATTAAGGTGTAAAACAGAAGGACCACAAAGCATGTTGCACACACACGTCTTTATACATGCATATGTTGAATACATACATACATTTGAAAATGCTTCCTTTAAACTTGGGTCTGAAATCCCAGAAGATTTTGTATTAGAATAGCACAGATGTAGGCTCTTCCTTTTACACTTAACTTACAGTTAAACTCTTGTAAAGATTGTACTTAGATCTTTGTAAATGCTGAAAGATTATATCTCAAAAAGAGGAAATCTCTGTCATATTGATTAGAGTTTTATTTTTATTTTATTTTATTTTTTTAAGATTCTATTTATTTGAGAGAGAGAGAGAGGGAGAGTACAGAGGGAGAGTGACAGGGAGAAGCAGACTCCCTGCTGAGCAGAGAGCCCGATGTGGGGCTCTATCCCAGGACCCTGAGATCATGACCTGAGCTGAAGGCAGACGTTTAATCAATTGAGCCACCCAGGCGCCCTTTGGTTAGAGTTTTAATTGATAACTATCCTTTTTTTGTTTTAAAGTAGTAATATAATCTTAAGGCTTTCATGGGAATAAATAAAAGTGTTAATAGTGGGTATATCTGGGTGATGGGGTTATGTACAGTCATAATTATCTACATAGCTTTTCAAGTTTTCTATAGTGAGCATGTCTTCCTTTTCTTTAGATTTTATTTATTTATTTGACACAGAGAGAGAGAGAGAGAGCACACAAGCAGGGGAAGCTGCAGGCAGAGTGAGAGGGAGAAGCAGGATGCCTGCAGAGCAGGGATCAAGAGTGGGATCAAGACCCTAGGGTCGTGGGATCATGACCTGAGCCAAAGGCAGCCGCTTAACCGACTAAGCCACCCAGGTGTCCTATAGTGAGCATGTCTTAATTTTATAGTCAGAAAAAAATGTTGATTTAAAATGACTGCCATTTATTTAAGAAGGCTCTTATGAATGTTTAGAAGTTCTTTTTCTGCATCCTTTTTTATTATTGCTGCTCTTTTCGTCTACAGAGTTCTCATAGCTCAGAACTCAAAAGAGTCACTAAAGATGCCTTCCTACATTCGTCAGCTCAGGCTGCTATAACAAAATACCACTTCTGGGTGGCTTAAAGAACAGAAATGTATTTTCTCACAGTTCTGGAGGCTGGAAGTCCCAGATCAGGGCGAGAGCGGGATTGGGTTCTGGTGAGAGCTCTCTTCCGGGCTCACAGATGGCCACCTTCTTGCTGTGTCCTCACATGGCAGGGAGCAAGAGAGAATAAAGAAGCTCTCTAGTGTTTCTTCTTATGAGGGCTTCATCCTTATGACCCCATGTAACCCTGATCACCTCCTAAAGGCCTCATCTCCAAATACCATTGCATTTCCTTCACATTAGGGATTAGAGCTTCAACATAGGAAATTTGGAGGCATGTAGACATTTAGTCCGTGATACTCCTTTCACTCAAACTGGCAGTATACAGGATTTCTAGAAATTGCATCTAGAATAGAAAAAGACTAGCTGGCTGTACATAAAACATGAGTGATGGTTATCTCTTGATGGTAGGACTAGAGGTGATTTTCTCCATTTTCTAGGAATTTAAAGTGCCATTATTTTTATAACTGGAAAGAATAACAATAAATATTATTTTTAAAGGAAAATGAAATGCTAGAGAATATAACATTCCATAATAATCTTGCAGATTTCAGAATCTTTTTATTTCTTCTTCTTGGGGTTTTTCTGAGAACTAATAAAAATGTCTTCAACACTTGGAGCTCTTGGATGTTCACACGTAGTGGCACTCAATAAGAAGTTGTTTCTCCTCATTTTCCTCCATTTAATGAAGATGACAATGTTAAGTGATAATAGCAATGATTATTATATTGCCCCATGAGACATGCCATCGACAATAGAATATAGGAAATTAAAATGGAAAATAGCCACAAAATCAGGACAGATGTTTGCAAAGTTTTTCCTATGAGTTAGTTCTAAATAGAATAGGCCATCCATTTTCTTTACTTTTGGAACTCTTTCGTCTTCTAGATTCCTGAAAATTAATTGGTAAAAAAAAAAATGAGTTAATTGTTTGTTGTTCATTAACATTCAATTACAAATGTGATATCAGCTCTTTGGATCTGTACCATAAAAGGGCAGGTTCATGGTGTCAGGGAGGAAACTTACAGTCAAACTTTCAATGTATTTTATTCCAAAGACTGGTTGGAGTTTAACACCTCAGGTTGGGGAAAGGTTTTTTCCTCTATAAAAGCTCTCTCTCTTCTTTTCTTTTTAATGCATCATTTCTTATTATGCTCTATCTTGTGTGTAGAGTCTGTCATTTCCTTAAAAAAATTCTCTGGGGTTGTTTTTTTTTTTCTCAGTCTCACATTTGAGTGTAATATTTCTAGTTTTTTCAACTCTGAAAGTCAATAGATTAGAAATGCCCTGCAAAGTAGAAATGTTTTTTGTCACGCAGGGAGCTGCTTGCCAAATAAATCATGACGTTGTGATATATTATTTCCAGTTGCTATAAATTTTCAATATTTAATATATCAGTCATACTAAGTCAGGATTCAGTTATTTAATTTCATTGATGTCTGTATTCTAGATTAGAATCCTTTTCCTCATTAGTAGATTTTAATTTCCTTGTCTCTCAGAGTCAAATTCCAAGCTTGCCTTATAAAACCAGGCACATAGTATACACATGAACAAACTGTTTTTGTGTTTACAAGTAGACTAGAAATTGTACGCTGGTAAACTATATCTGAAATTACAAATTTGCCCACTTAAATGGTGTTTTTTAACACTTTAGATCACTTTCGTCACTGTTGCTTTGGTAATTTGATTACCAGGTATAGACAAACCTATCTAGGCAACTCTCCATATTGTATTGTCACATGATCTTTATTGAGAGCTTAAAAAGTAATCTCACAAATGATCCTCAAAAGTGAAAAACATAAGTTGTTCTGAACTCAGGGTTATGCCTGTATCATAGTTAATGTCTTACTACCCAAATTACTTTCTGGAATTCTGTTTTGATGATACTGAAAAAACAATTTTCTTTTTTTTTTTTTTTTACCATTTTTTTTTAACAACAGGACACAAAAATCGCTTCATTGGAGCGAAACATAAGGGATCTGGAGGATGAGATCCAGATGTTAAAAGCCAATGGTGTGCTGAACACTGAGGACCGCGAAGAAGAGATCAAACAAATAGAGGTTTACAAAAGTCACTCCAAGTTCATGAAAACCAAGGTATGATCCAAAGTTATAAACTTTTATACTCTTAGTGTGACTGGAAAGTTATGGTTTACATACATACTTCCCCCAAATACCCACATAACCTGTTTTATGTGATATCATGAAATATATGGACAATGAAGAAGAACACACAAGATTTTTTTCATTCAGAATCCTAGATTCCAAAAAGAGATCAGGGAACATCTTTGGTCAAATTTCTACTTATTAAGGTGTTCAAGATTTTCTAATGAGTAAGTTTGGTGTCTTGGGAATTAACATTTACTTGTAATACTGTCTTCCAAATTTCCCGAGTTTTCATAAGATTGCTATTTTGTGACATTTCTATCATTGCCAAATTTTGGCCCATCCCTAAGAAGATGACTGTCTCCAAAGGTGTTGATCTTGGAAGCCAATTTAACTGATTTCAACGGTATGAAGACATTTTGGTTTTAGCATAGTGTTTAAGGTAGAACTGACTTTGCATTCCAATTCTACTGTTTGCTTAAATTGTTCAGCTTCTTTAAGCCTCAGTTTTTTCATCCATGAAATAGGCATAGGAGAAAGGAAAGTACCTTCTTCATTGGGTTGCTTTGACCATTCCAAGAGATTATGCATTTAAAGCACTTAGTCCCTGGCTGATCTCTAGAAAGCATTCAATAAATGTCAGGCATTGTTATTGATAGTGTTATTATTTTTATATTATTATTATTTTTAAATAATTTATTTATTTGAGAGAGGACAGAGAGAGCATGAGTGGGGGGAGTAGCACAGGGAGAGGGAGAAGCAGACACCCTGCTGAGGGGCTCGATTCCAGGGCTCTAAGATCACGACCTGAGCCAAAGGCAGATGCTTAACGGACTGAGCCACCCAATAATGTTATTATTATTATTGGTATCTGTTTATAAAATATAATTTTGCAATATTTATAAATATTTATAAAATATAATTATGCAATATTTATAAAATATAATTATAGTAACCTGTTCCATTAATTTATATTGGTATTGCCAGTTTTAAAGAATTTGGTTTGTTACTTTTCAAAATTAAACTTTGGGCTACAAATGAACTGAACGCCTAAATATCTATTATTTTTATACATGCTTAATTATTAAATTTATGAATAGCCCCAAGTAGGTCTTTTGAGACTTTGAGATGCTTTTATTTATCCCTGGATTTAAACTGTTTTGCTTCTGAAATAATAACCACACCAATTAAATTTTTTTTTCTTTTTTCTACCATGTACTCTTAAACGCCCCTGGTCTTATTCTAAGTTTTACTTTTGTTTATTGCCTTATAAAATGCAGCAGAGTTAAGAGTAATGCAGACTTCTATGAAGAACCAGTGGAAGTGGAGACAAAAAATGTTTAAATGATGGTATGATTTTTATCATTGTGAAATATTTGCATAGTCATTGCAGAGAATTTGCAAATTATAGAGAGGAAATAATATGTAGCATCTACTTCACCATGTCTGTGTGTTGCATGTATGTGCATTTCTCTACAGAAAAAACAAAAATTTTGCTTACTTCTGCCAACTTTACATTTGTAAGTTGATGTTGAGATTATGACAAAAAGTTTAGATGAAGGAGTGGAGGGAGATCTGAGGAGAATGTCTAGTGGATTTGAATGTAACCCTTTCCTTTCAAGGAGTTCCACAAAATGCAGAATGGGCTTCCCTGTTCAGCCCTCTCTTCCAGTTTCTTTTTTGCAGTCCTTTCCTCTCAGAGAGTTGAGCTAGGGTATAGCAAGCCCAGTGGTAGGGTGGCCTGTTGACTAAACAATGACCATTCTCTCTGGGATTGAAGCTATGAAGATAAGCGTGAACTCATAACGTCTGGGCAAAATTATTGTTTTGGCTTAAATTTTTCCTCCCCATCCTGTCATTCAACAGTGGGAGATAGTTCAAGGCACTTTTACAACTAAAAATGCCATGAAATTTGTTTAGGTAAATAAAACATGTATATGGTCTTCAGCAAGCAGGCCTTTATTAGTCCATAGGTGTCTGAGAGACCATTGGTCCTTGAGTTGGTTTTAACTTTTATTTTTTATTTTTTTATTTTTTATTTTTTATTTTTTGAGTTGGTTTTAACTTTTAATATCTGGTTACTTTTAAGGGTTCCATAAGTGGTCAGGTCAGAAGGATGTTTGAGGAGAGAAATGGAGTAAGGCAGAAAGAGTGTAGGCTGACACATAAAGTGGACTCTGGCAGATCTCTAGCCTGCCTTTGCTAGTTGCATGATCTTGAGGAGTAATTTATGTCACTCAACCACTTTGCTCTTCTATGAAATGGGGCAACACCACAAACCTTAGGGGGAGACTCACAGGCTTAAATGAAATAATGTAATTAAAATGCTTGGCTCAAAAAAGTAGCTAATAATTATCCCCATTATTATTGAAGAAGTATAACCAAATAATAATATTAATAATAATAATAAATGTCATATTTCACTTGACTAATGGGGAAAATGGATTTCTAAGAATATAAATAAAAATAAGATTTTATAATATGCAGAAATCCCTTATAGATTGATAAAAGATTGCTAAAAAGTATTAGTAAGAGTTAGTTTTTTGTATTTTCTCCATTGAAAGAATGTTCTTATTGGATTAACTCTTTTTTTTTTTTTTTAAAGATTTTACTTATTTATTTGACAGAGAGAGACACAGCGAGAGAGGGAACACAAGCAGGGGGAGAGAAAGAGGGAGAAGCAGGCTTCCTGCCGAGCACGGAGCCCGATGCGGGGCCTGATCCCAGGCTGGGATCATGACCTGAGCTGAAGGCAGATGCTTAAGGACTGAGCCACCCAGGCGCCCCTTATTGGATTAACTCTTAACATTCATTGTTTATACTTCATATCATTACTTCAATTGCTTATTTTTCTTATTTCTACTTTGAGAGGGGAGAGTGGGTATGGTCGAGCAGGTCTATTAAGACATAAGCTATTGCTAAGCATTTAGCCCTGAGTGCTTGTGTTTTGTGCTTTGTGGAATCCCAGAGGCTATGTGAACTGATTCCAGTTGGGTGAATCACTTGTCATGGAATTTATTAAATTTTAGAGGCATGGATTGATATTCTCTAAAATTGGATTATTAGCGTATCATATGATCTCACTGATATGAGGAATTCTTAATTGCAGGAAACAAACTGAGGGTTGCTGGAGTGGGGGGTGGGGTGGGAGGGATGGGGTGACTGGGTGATAGACACTGGGGAGGGTATGTGCTCTGGTAAGCGCTGTGAATTGTGCAAGACTGTTGAATCTCAGATCTGTACCTCTGAAACAAATAATGCAATATATGTTAAGAAAAAAAAAAAGAAGAAGAAGAAGGTAGCGGGAGGGGAAGAATGAAGCGGGGGAAATCGGAGGGGTAGACGAACCATGAGAGACGATGGACTCTGAAAAACAAACTGAGGGTTCTAGAGGGGAGGGGGGTGGGAGGATGGGTTAGCCTGGTGGTGGGTATTGAGGAGGGCACATTCTGCATGGAGCACTGGGTGTTATGCACAAACAATGAATCATGGAACACTTCATCTGAAACTAATGATGTAATGTATGGGGAATAACATAAGAATAAAAAATAAATAAATAAATTAATTAATTAAAAAAAAGAATAAAATTGGATTATTAGCATAACTCATGGTCTATTGTAGCCTATTTGGATAACTTTTTTTTTTTTTAAGATTTTATTTATTTGACACACAGAGAGAGAACAAGCAGGGGGAGTGGCAGGCAGAGGGAGAAGCAGGCTCCCTGGTAAGCAAGGAGCAAGGATGCGGGACTTGATCTCAGGACCCTGGGATCAGGACCTGAGCCAAAGGCAGACACTTAATGGACTGAGCCTCCCAGGTACCCCTGGATAACTTTTCTACAAGATTTATATGAATATGTTGCTTGTCAACATCATCACAGACACCTGAAGGGTTAATTTTTGCAATAGTTGATTATACACATTGACAGAACAATTGTTTGGTGTCATTATTACAGTCTCTTGAACTCTTTCGTTTACACAGAGTTGTGTGGATAAAGCTTTCGGTGGTGGATTTTGAGCTCTGTGGTTCCCATAGACTTACTAAACCTTGTTTTTAGCACATGACACTGAGCTAGCTACCCAGGGGCTCTAAAAGTAGTGCATATTCAAAATGTTTCTCACTTCAAAGCCAATACTGACCACTTAGTTGGGAAAGTAAGAAATGTCCTAGAAAAATTACCCTGATTATTTGATGAGAGGAGAGTTTACTTCTGGCTGGAGTAATGTAAGTAGTTTAAGTTTAGTCAGTGTTTTTTGTCTAAATAACCAAATTGGCAAAATAGCAATGATAGGTCTGGTGAAGAATGCAAACTCAAATCAGTGACTGAGCAAACCTAGAAGGATAAGTAAAAATACCATCCCACCCCAACTCCACACAGAGGAGGAAGTGGGAAGAACTCCAGTCTATGTGAAATGGCAGGTTTTCCAAAAAAGGAAAGAAAGAGGCTCTGAAGCTTACCTGGGGGAAATGGAAACGTTAATTGTGAAACTCAAGGGTTTAGTGAGGCAGTGATAGAAATGGAAATCAGAAAGTGACTTTGGATCCCAACTAGCAAAGAATGCAGGCATAGTTGACTTTATAAACTGTTGTCTTAACAGTTTATAAAGACGCAGAGTCCTGGTAGAACATTTCAGAAATTCTTCTGAGATGCTGCATAAGGAGGGGAGTGGAACTCTGGGAACCAGATCTGAAATTGCATCTAATTTTGTTACTTCTTCTTGCTGCTTGTAATGAATATGTAGAAAGCTTTTAAAAGTGCCCAGAGAACTTTTTTACCTGGTGTTTTAGAGAGGCACCTTCAGAGTGATAACTGTTTGCAAAGGCAGGAGGCTTGGAGATGCTCTTCGATCTGAGTACTTCTTAATAGAGATCTAAAATGAGTTCTATCATGATTCTTTGGAAGTTTACTACCTTTAAATAAAAAAAAAAAGATAAAAAAATTCGACCTGGTCATGAAAAAAAAGCTCCTAAAATTGGATAAACACTTTTTT